CCTCGTTGAAAGTTTATTTAGCTGCACTTTCAGTTTACCACGTTCAAGTTGAGGGATGCACACTTTTTTCACATCCTCTTTCTAAACGTTTTTTAAAGGGACTGTTACACCTTTATCCTCCCATCAAAAGTCCTGTCGTCCCCTGGGACCTTCCCCCGGTACTTCGCCAACTCACCAGAAAACCTTTTGAGCCGCTCGCGACTTGCGACTTGAAATTGCTGTAGTAACAGCTTTTCTGGTGGCTGTCACTTTGACGAGGCGAGTAGGGGAAATACTAGCATTCAGACATGATTCTTCTTACCTGTAATTTTTACCAGATGGTGTCCGTCTTGTTCCTGACATCTCATTCTTGCCAATGGTAGTTTCAGAGTTTCACCTCCAGGCAGAGGTCTTCCTTCCGGATTTCTTCCCCTCTCTGACATCCCCAGAGGAGAGGGTATTACACATGTTGGATACAAAGCGTGCACTTCTGTTCTACCTACAGAGAACTCGTCCGACGAGACGTGACTGTCAACTGTTCGTTCCCTATGCTCCAGCCAAGCTGGGAACTTGTATCACGGCTCAGCGTTTGTCAAGGTGGATTGTAGGTCTCATCCGCCTCTACTATCTTATTGCTAAGCAGCCATTGCCTGGCCCTATCAGGGCTCATTCTACTCAAGCTGTTGCAGCCTCAACTGCTTTCCTTCAGGGAGTTTCCCTACTGGACTTTTGCAGAGCTGCTACCTGGGCTACGCCTAATACATTCATAAGGCACTATGCCCTTGATGGCCGCAAGAACTCTCGTACCAACATGGGACGTCACATCTTATCCTTGGCTTTGCAATAATGACCTGCCAGCACCCTCCTCCAGTTAGGCAACTGCTCACTAATCTCCCATGGGTGTGAAGCACAGAGACCACGTCAAAGATAAACAGGTTGCTTACCTGTAACTGATGATCTTCGAGTGGTCATCTGTGCATTCACACCTCCCGCCCTCCTTCCCCGCTGCTGTCAGCTTCTATGTTTTTATTGGGGTTGATTTGCAGTGGTCTGAAGGAACTGGCGGGATGTACGCACCCATCCCTCTGTGCATGTGTGGTTGGGGTTCCTGTGCATGCCTGAAGTCTGGGCGCAAAAATCCGTTAGAGCTTGCTACAATACTGATCGATCCAGTGCAGGCGCACTGAATCCCATGGGTGTGAATGCACAGATGACCACGCGAAGATCATCAGTTACAGGTAAGCAAAAATCTACAAGTCTGCCCTCCCCTTTCCACTATATTGATAGACCTGACCTCCGGAGAACTGGTCTACCCAATCCTTTGCACTATATTGGTACAAATACAAATAAATACAAGTAAATTTACTGTATTAAGCCATTGGCCATTACAGCAGTATAGTGATAGACCTGGCCTCTGGAGAACAGGTCTACCCACCCTAGTCCACTATATTGGTAGACTTGGCTTTGGACCGGCACCCTGCACTGACCCTTAGAAAACATATCAGCACTTTTGGGGGGGACTCTTGCAGTCCATTTTGGTTATTTTAGTGAACTATGACAAATTACAGGTCAAGTATAACAGAGATGGAATAATCACTGTCATAAATAATCACTGCCTAACCTAACAAACAGGAAGCTGCTTAAATGTTATCAACCTGCCCAATCTACTTATTTATATCCCACTTTTCCCTGTGACTCAAGGCAGCTTACAGATCATACTGAAATGCATATTAATAGTGTGCAAAAAAAAATCAATTCTCTCCCTCGTCGCTCCATTATACCCTACGGGGACCATGATAGTCAATGGGCCCCATAGGCTATAATGGGGAATCGTTCTGGGGGGTATCTGGGGGGGCTGTTTTGTGAGGTAGAGGCACCAAATTTGCAGCATAGCTGCTGGTGCCTCTTCTCAAAAATAACCCCAATTTTCAAAAAGATTGGACCATGGGGTCCAATTCTGTGAGCCCCAGCAGTAGATGCCCCTATCCTCCATTGTTTCCAAGGGAGGGGAAAATGCCTTCTTAGTTTACCTGTGAGCTGAAGCTAAAATCCTTGTTGTGTTCTTAATGATCAGCTTTAATCACCATAAATTTAGGGATCTTTTAGGTAAGGTTAGCCAGGTAGAATCCTTCAACTTCCTTCATATTCCATGAGCTTTGTATATGGTCTCAAGGTCTTTGCCTTAGAGAACTCCCTCTTTTCAACTAGATTCAACCAGTTTAACACCATCTAATGCTGGCTTCTGACATGTTTGTGTATCACCATGCCTCCAATTTAAGTGTTGACATGTGGACAAACACCCCCATCCCAGAGCGACAGTGGAAAAGGAAGCCAGCACACTGATCATTTGCCTCAAAGACAAAAATGGAAAATTATGGCCAGGTGACTAAAAGCAGAAACTTTTACCAAGTTTTAATGGACGATCAAACAGACCAGAAGGTTAAAAGCAGGAGCAGAACTGAAGCATGTCAGGAGCCAGCATGAGATGGTGTTAAGCTGGTTGAATCTAGTTGAAAAGAGGGAGTTCTCTAAGGCAAAGACCTAGTAATCCATATTGTTCTGTGTGGTGATTTTTCATGCGACCACAGTGACAAACTTGTAGCTGCCTAAATGTATTGGCCTGCATAACAAATATTTTTGATCTGTCACCTATTTCAATTTTAGGAAAGCCACACATTTTCACAATACGAATATACTGGAAATATAAGGGAATAATCAGAAACAACTGCAGCAATTTTCTAACCAGAAATCCCTATGTGAAGTTGAATTTTGTTCAAAGCTATAAGCATCGTTACATATCCAGATATTAAAAGGCAACTAGTGAGCAATGAGAGTTGACCTAGAATGAACTAAATTGAGTATTTCCAGATAGCATGAACTTGTGATAGACATGAACTTATTTTGCCATGTAATGGCTTGAGGCTATGCAGAAGCCACTGTCTGTTCTGGAAAACTTTTTTACAGTGGTTACTATGCAGGCATATAGTGTAGCCAAAATAAGTGCTGTGTTTCTCATAGAAGCTATTCGAATAAAACAGTTTGCCCTTTTTGCTCCTCTTATGAGATAATGAAGGATTTGAGCATTGTCGTTCATGATGTCAGGGCATCCTGATGTTGAAATTATTTTCTAGTCACTGTGATCCATTTATTTATTTTACATATAGTGTCACACCAGTAACCATCTGTTTAGAGACTGACTCATTCTTTAATCTTCCTTCTTTCCAATGATACATATGTTTGGGATCTTTCAAACAACACTGAGTAAAAATCAGTGAAATCCTGATTAAAGATGGTTGCTTTTTTAAATTTCAAGTGATCTGAATGGCTGCATAAGTGGATTATGCAGTGAAATTTCATAAGAGATGGACACAAGGAACAGAGGCCTTATTGTTTCTGTGGAGATTCTGACAACTGCTTTCTATTTCTGTTTCTCTGTGCCCTATATTGAGTTCTATGTGTATATGGAATGAGAAAAAAAGCTTAAGCGGGGTGGTGGCGGTGGAAGGATTATGGCTACATTAGTGTTACATTATTACATCCCCCTAGCAGTTTACATTTTTACTGGCCAAAATGAATCTTCCTCATGTGGGAAGACATGACTATTTGGATTACTAGTGCACTAAACAGAATATGATAAAGAAATCATATACAGATTGTGCATATACAGTATCTGGCATTAAGGTTCCATAGGGCTGTGTTTAATGACATCCATATACATACATAGACCCCGGTCACAGGGGCCCGATAACACGGGGGGGGGGAGGCGTGGCTATTTGCGGCGCTGCAATTTAACGTGCCATAATGCGATCCCACACGTCGCCGGCATGCCACGGTACCTTCCCTCCGCGTCAACGAGGGGCCAGAGGGAAAAGCAGCGCGCCGGCGCAATCACACTGATGCATTCCAGAGGCAGTCCATGGCAAACCGGTTGCTACTACCTTCGACCAGGTATTTTTTAACTCCACATTTTCGGCGGTATGCCACGGGTTGGCCATGGGTGCGCTCCACTTCCCAGATGTTGCGGTGTGATTGCGCCTGGAAAATCCGCCATTCAATCGTCGCTCTCCCGCAGCAAATCCTCCATGTGAACGGGGCCATTCATGTGTAAATTTCATTGAAAATGGATTCTCTTACCATTGGATACCTGTCTTTCCTATTACGTAATGTCTCATGGACATTAATTTGAATCGCCAGTAATTTCAAATTATAATAGTTACTCCCCATTTCTCAGTCGGGTCAGATACTTTGTAAGTAGGTCCTATATTCATATGTTACAAAAACCATTTTTGTTTTATGTGAATCTACTGTAAAAAGATAACATCAACCTTTTCTTGTTTAAGTAATATTGAATACCTTCATCTTTTATTATGAGAGTTTAGGTCTTTCATGTTCAGTGTCAACAATTTAAAACCACCCATGTTTTACATAAAAGAGAAAGGACAATAGACCTTGTTTATTTTTAATGACCAAAGCCCATACTACAGCAGCTTCCAAAGGACCAGATAACTGCTGAGCTTCGCTTGGTGCTCTAACAATTATAATTTCATTCTTGATCTACACATTTAATCCAAAAGAAGCATTCTATGTATAGGTGACAGTTTGTGATATGGACAAAACTACAAACGGTGGTTTCTTCCCAAAAGGGAAATTATTAGTTTTTGAGCTGAATAAGAGGGCAGTGATTGCATGAACTTGAGGATTCCCCTAGTTTCCCCCCTGTAATAACAAATCTTGGTTTGTTGTTTGTGATCCATGCCACTGAGTAGTCTCAGGTATCCTCTCAACCTTAGTTTCCCATATATAAATTGGCAGTAATAATTACCTAATAATATTTAGAGGTTTTGGGAGGATAAATAAACTAATGATTGCACACTGTGAAAAAGAAACTAATTTGTGTACAGGCTAATATGTTTCAGTGTGTCTTGTCTACAAGGTCAACAGATATCTCTCCTTCATCCCTTGTTAGCATGGATGCTATTAAGTGAGCTACAGCTATCTCTTATGCTTTTTTTCCTACACAGACTCCAATGAACCAAGCCTCCACTCGTTCACACTGCATTTTCACCATTCACATCTCCAGCAAAGAACCAGGATCTGCAACCATTCGACGCTCCAAACTACATTTAGTGGATCTAGCTGGTTCAGAGCGTGTTGCAAAGTCTGGAGTTGGAGGTCAGCTGCTGACAGAGGCCAAATATATTAATCTGTCATTACATTTCTTGGAACAGGTAAACTTCACATAAAGTTTAATTCTTCATTTTATGACTACTTTTGAAAAGTAGTTTGCTTTTAGCATATTCATGTTCCACTGCACTTGGCATTGTGGCTATTTAATAAACATTCGGAAAAGAATATAACATGTATCAGTGTAGCTTATCTGAGTCAACAGCATGGCAGATATAATTACCCTTGCACCATTTTACTACACTGTCCCTTTGTTATATAACTAGGGTTGCCAAGTCCTCACCTCATTAAAAGCAGGGGAGTCCAGTGCTGGTCTGGGAGTCCATGCGCAATTACGTCACCCGGAAGTGATGCAATCACATTGGGCACGTTGGGGGCGGGGCCACAATCATCCGAGGGAAAACCAACATGCCCGACATGATTGTGTCACTTCCAGGTGACGTGCTGACGCTGGGCATGTTGCGTGCTTTGGGGGTGGGGTTCCACCCAGGGCCCTTATCTGCCGCCAGCGGGTAACGGGCCTCTCGGGCGGGGTTTTCCCCGCCCCCTGGGGGGACTTTGCAATTCTTATTTAAAAATAATTTCAGTGAAAGTTGTTGAAATGTTGCAATAGTAAGTGTGTTGTTCCATATCAAAGCAAGGCATATATATTTCATAGAAGGTTTAAACAAAGCCCCAACAGCTCAGTAGTTTCTTGTACCATTTTAGTACAATGACCGCATATCCTAAACCCCTGCAAATCTTATGAGATAGGTCTTACTTTCACATTTTGAAATGTAATGTTAATCCTATTTTCCCCAAATCCTTAAACCTAGCCAATCCAGCCTACAACTCTTGAAAATATGAAGTCTATTCTCATTTTTATTTATCTAGAAAACTCAGCAACAGAAATATTTTTCTGATTCAGCACTTCACATGTTTATTTCTAATATTTCTTCCTTATGTTGCTTTTTAAACCCTCCCACCCCATTCCACAAAACTTAGATCTCTATGTAGGGGGACATGCTTGAAGTACATCAAAGCAGAGTAGTAACCTGTTGAGTACATTATTATTACTGTATTGTGTTAATTGTGTCCATATTAATAGTTTAAAGAACCTTATCCATGTTTCATGCGTTCTGTCAGAAAAGAAAATATTGCACCTGCTAGAAACAGATTTTTCTACCCTAAAGTTTCAATGTAGAGTATTGTTTTCATAGCCTAGTAAGCATTCAGCATAATATCAGAGTTTTGTTGATTTTGGAGTCCTCTCACAAACACATTGCTTTTTCCAAAAATTTCTTTAAACCAACTGCTTTAAAGCTACAATAACTGGGTACGTGTAAGCCTGTAAGGCAAACATTCAAGGAGAAAAGCAGATGAAAGACTTAAGAAAATGTACATTGTGCTTTCTTTAACTGTGTGCCCCACACTTTTTTATTTTGGCATATTGGAATTTAAAATAAAATATTTAGATTTGCTGTAGCTTATAAATATTACCAAGAAGATTTTGTCTTCTGCATTGCAATTCTATGAAGGGTTTGCATCCTTCCATTACAGTCAATGGGTTTAGAAGGATATAACTTTGTTTCGGATTCTAGGGAGTAAACACATGTTGAATGAACATCCCGGTCCTAATTATTGTAGCAGCAGAACTTCCCTTGTAACACAGCAACTTCCATGTAGATTCTGGAGGCCAAGATGGACTGGAGGAAGGCAAGCTGGCTGAACTCAGCCCAGATGAGATAGATGTTGATGGTGGCCAAATTGATACCTTGTGGAGTTTGGTTTGCCTCTGGATGTTACCAATTCCCTTTAAAGCACAAGTTCACCTCTTGGGTTTGCTTTAGGACTCAGCTTTTGGAAACCTTGGTGATGTGTCTAGGAGATTTCACCACCTGCACTCCCTTCAGGAAACAGGGATAGATGAACAGGGATACATGCCACAGTACCTGTTTGCTTGGAATACTGTGACTATGTAGCCTTTTTTGAAACCTATTTGGAACTTCAGCTGAAGCAAAATATGGCATCCTAGTTGTAGCCTGTTCTGGTTTACAGAGGACATGTTATGTTTGTTTTCCAATAGCTAAACATTGGCTGTGGTCACACAGAGCATTAGCCACGCTACAGAGACGGAAGATAGGCAAATTTTCCGGGTACGATCAAACCGCAACATCTGGGAAGCGTAGAGCTCCCATGGCTAACCCGAGGTTTCCCGTCGAAGATGCGCCATAAAAAACTAGTACCTGCGAGGTACTAGTTTCCGGAAACCGCGGGGCAAGGGCGGTCATCTGATCACGTTTCTGGTGGTAGCTCGTGGCATCCGGCGCCTGTCCGTGTCCCGTCGCAAAAAGGTTTCCCTCCCCAAGTCTCCACGGGATGTGCACAAGCACCCAACGGCGCATGCGCACACTTCGGTTAAAAAAAAGAACACAACCCCCGCCGTGCCGCTTCTTTGCCGCGCTGCAGGATTGACGTATGATCGGCACCTCCCCCCAAACTACGGGACGTCGGCGGAACGTTTGATCCAGCGGCCACGTGGTAGTTCGCTCCGGGGCAAACAACCACACCTCCCCCCCGCGGTATCTTGCCAGTGTTACCGGGGCAATTGATTCCCAGTTACGTCCTGGGTACAATTTAAATTGCTGGTTTTGACTTGTAAAGCCCTGCAAAGCATAGGTGTGGGATAAAGGAATGCTTTATCTTTTATTTAATTAATTTGATTAGTTTACTAGCAGTCCTAAACTGTGATCTTAAAGTTGGGTGGTGGTGGTGTTAAAATGAATTTTATGTGTTTTATCTATATTGTGAGCTGGCTTGAGCTCCATATGGAAGAAAGGGCACCTCATAAACATTTTAAATAAATAAACAATTAAAAAGAGCCCTCTATATACCTAAGTTATCAACTGAAGCCCTTCTGGGCTTGAGTAAGATTAGAAAGTTGGTGAAAAAAATTAGGGCCTTTTTGGTGGCTGCACTGTGACTTTGGAGATCCCTGCTCTAAAGAGGTCCTCAAGCAGCCTGTATTTTTATGGATGAATAGCTAGAATATTTTTCGTTTGTAAGACATTTGAAGTTCCTAGGTGAATACTGTTTTAATATCTTTATCATATTTTAATATGCCATGCTAACTTTGTCTGGTTTCATTTGTGTCCCCTCTGCAGTACCACAAATGGAATCTTACATGCACATGCCTTATCATAGAACCTTTGTTAGTTTTGGTGCATGAAATGTTTCTTACTGTGGCTTTTTTTTTAAAAAAAAAGATTTTTAAAATTTATTTTCACAAACATACACACAACAAACATACATAACATAAATGGGGGTATTAATTTCATGTGAATAGTAATTTTGATACCTTCTTATAAAGAATTCAAAATAAACCATTTAAAGCTAAAAGGTTCTTTTTCTAAATGTTAAAAAAATTCTTCTACTTTATGTCTTCTACTGTGATAAATTGCTTGTCCTGTTGAAATTCTCATACCAAGTATAAAATCTGGATCATGTATTTTCAAATGTACTTTCTGTGTGGCCTTTCAACAATAAAGTCAGTGTATCCATTTCAGCTGATTGGAGTACTTTGTTAATAAATTCTTCTTTACTTGTCATTTCAGGTCTCCTCCAATATTTAGCGTACAAAATTCTAGCAGAAGTAGTTAAGTACAATATAAGATAGGAGTCATCTCTTTTACAAGTTTCAGGCAAAATATTAAAAAGAAATACTTCTGGAGTAAAGGGTATATGACATTTTAAGATTTTTTGCAATACTTCATGGATCCAAGCGCAGTATTTTTTTGCTTTATCACACAACCACCAAATATGATAAAAGGATCCCACTTTGTTTTGACATTTCCAACAAATATTTGAACATTTAGGATCAAATTTAGCCAATTTCTCGGGTAATATACCATCTATAAAACATCTTATATATGTTTTCTTTATAAGAAATTGCTTTCGTGATCTTAATATTTTTTCCCCAAATCTGGGACCAGTGATCTAACTCAATATTATGACCCAGGTTTTGTGCCCAATGTATCATAACACTTTTAATGGTGTTGTCATACATCTTGTAGTCTAACAACAAAACATAAATTTTTCTTATGAAATTCTGTTCACCAAACAGCATTAAATTATCAATTTCTAAAAGGTTTTCATAGAATCCTATTGCTTTATCTTTAATATACCTTGATTCAATTTGAGCTTTTTACCACCAGTTTAGCTCAGACAAAGGTTTCAAGTTACATTTAGAATCTAATAAGTCTTGATAATCTTTTTATTGGCTCTTCTTGGTATGTCTTCGGGTTTGTAAATGCTTCTAAGGGAGCTACAAATTTGGGAATCTTAAGATAGAATTATTTTCTTTTCTTTTCTTTTAAGCCCCCGGAGGGGATTTTTTATTGCATTTTCTATAAACTACAACGAAAAAAAGGGAAGGGAAAACTACATCTATGGGAGAAAGGAAAGAAAACCAAACTAAAAACCCAAGAATAGGAGATCATTAGAATAGCTTGTATCAGTGTTAATCTAAAATGTTATGATTACATTGAACATAGTCGATCATGCTATATTATTTGTTTTCACTATTTAAAGAAAATCACAAGAGCATCATTAATATCTTTAAGGCCTTAAGGCACAACTCAGAGTTCTTCAGCCTTCATTTCGTTTTATCTTTTCTAACCCTTAATTAATATTCTCGCTTAGGGGCTGCTGCCCCTTTTTCGGAGACAGAGTCCTCATCGGAAGTAGTGGAGTCCATTTCATCACTAGGTTTGCTGTCTTCTTCTTCCTTGCCGTCCTCACCGGATAGAATTGTTTTCTAATTGGCTCCCAAACTTTCATTAAGGAAACTCTCACCCAATGTTGTTTAAAATATTTGTGAGTCTTACTGTGACTTTTGATACCCATTATCTCAGTCAAGAGGCAGGGGAGATCATTAACCTATTCATTTTATTTGTTGTCATTGTTGACAGATAAGCTCCAGGTCTTTTTCTTGTGTGTTAAGAATGGCTTTTCATCGACTGAAGAGTTGTCCGGTTATGGCCAGCTGGTCTTCTGGTACGGCGCA